GGCCCCGTCTGCGCAGCCGCGGCGCCGGCCCCGCCCCCGCCTGCCTGCAGAGCCCGTCCCGGTGGCGGGAACGCCAATCAACGCGCGCCAAGGGGGCAGAGCCCCCTGACTTGGCACGCGTGCGCTCTGGTCCTTTATGCGGCTGTGCGGGCTTCACACGCTGTCCGGGCCGGATCTGGCTTCCCTCGGCCCTTGCTTTGCAGTCCTTCTCACAGTGCAGCCAGCTAAGCAGCTGCTGCGGCTCTCCCAGCTCCTTGCCAGGTCTCCTCCCGCCGGCTGGGAGCTCCTTCGGCGGCCGCGGCACTTGCCACGAGCGCGCCTGGCTTTGAGTCCTTGCGCCACATGCCTGCCTGACCCTTCATCCACAGGACACTTGGGTCCCAGTCCAGCACTAGACCTCGACTGCTCCGTCGTCTGGGATCCCAGCCTCATGGACTCCCAAATTCCGGGCTGAGCCAGCACTGCACACCTTACCCTAAGTCCCACCCAAAACATTTTTTATTTACAACACTGCGATTGTGCATGTTAGGCAAGCACTGTGCTGATGTCTCAGAATCCTGGAATCGAGCCGGGCGTGGGGCGCGCCTGTCATCCCAGCACGCTGTGAGGCTGAGGCAGAAGGATTGCCATATTCGAGCGCAGACTGGGCAATTTATCAAAACCTTGCCTCGAAATTTTAAAAATATAGAAAGGTCTGGGAATGTACCTCAGTGCGAATGCCTTAGCTTTGATCCTCAAGACACCACCAACAAAATCAGACTGCCTTCCTCGGCTGCAGATCCTCCAACCCCAGGGTGGCGTTAGTGATTGTTTTCTTTTGAGACAAAATCTCACTATGTGACAAAGGGTGCCCTTGAACACTTTGTAGCTCATGTTGGCCTCGAACTCGCCTGTATCCTCCAGCCTCAGCTTCCAGAATGCAGGGCTTACAGGTAGGCGCCACGACAGGTGTTTACAGGTGTTTTGGGGAGGATGGGGTACCGGGATGGCTTGTCTTTTAATACTGAGACAAGTGTTTTTGCTAAATGACTAAGTTGTCCAAGCTGGACTCTTAACTTGCGATCCTCCTGCCTCAGCCTCCCAAGGTACTGGGATAACAGGCTCCACTACCTCCGTGGTTTTCAGGTTTAAGGAGCCTTGCGCCAACATTGGGCCCCCCTAAAGGGCAAATGACAAAATTACATTTTGTTTGAAGATCTTAATTGTTTTTTACGTGCAATTCTAGAACAACCCCACCTCCTTCTGTAAGATAGAACGAGCGTTCCCTGGGTTGAGCTGAGAATCTGGCTTTGTAGACAGCAGAAAGTTCAAGAAAGCAGAAACAACGGTCATTTCAAAGTTCCTTTTCCCTGTACTGGTTAGAGCAGAGGGGATTTCCCGGTTCAGCCAGCTAAAACCGGCTCCTTTCGTGATACAGCTGTTATCTCCCCCTCTCCTGCCTTCTGGGAAAATCAGATAAACTTGGTTTCACAGAGTGGTGCCCTGGAACTGTTATTGAGTCCATATTGTTCTTGTCTGTGGGCCTGGTGCTGGCGGGTGGTCTAAACCAGTGACCATCTGTACATTTTATTCAGCACTGATCCGGATAATCACCTGCCTCAAAGTCCTTAAGCCTGACTGCAGTCCTTTGGGAAATGGAAGGTAAGGCATCCACTGAGGACCAGGGCCAAAACCATTTGATGGGCACCATTCTGTTGCCCCCCACAAACACTCAACACCATAAGCTGGAAGTGCTAGGCAGGTGCAGGAGGCTTGAATGGGTAAATGATGGGCAGAGGATGGGGGAGATGCTCACTCAGGGCACTGCTGCTTTGGGCATGTGTGGCCTAGGGCAAAATGCTGAGTGCGGTGAGCTGAATAGGGGCGAGCACTGGTGGGCACACGGTGTGTCTATGCTGGGGACTCACAAGCCAGGAAGGGCAGCCCAGTCTCAGTACTGGAATTCTGTGAGACAAGAAGTGAACCGCACCCGTCTGCCTGAAAGAGAAATTTGTGTGTGTGTGTGTGTGTGTGTGTGTGTGTGTAGTGATGGGGATTGAACCCAGGGCCTTCACACTGAGCTACAACTCAGCTCAGCTTGAATTTGTGATCCTCCTGCCTCAGCCTTCCAGAGTCCTGGGATGACAGGCATGCAAGACCACACCTGGCTATTATGTGAATTTTACATTAATTCTAAAAGATGATGGTGCAGGCATGGTGGCGCCCCTCTGTAACTCCAGCACTGGGGAGGCTGAGGCAGGAGGATCGTTGCAAGTTCAAGACCAGCCTGGGCTACAAAGTGAGCTCAAGGCCAGTTTGAACTGCATAGGGAGACCCTGTCTCAAAAAGACAAAAAAAAGTAAAAAAATAAAAGACGACGATGGAGGGATGCCTCCATTAGGTACAGGGCACCCCTGGAAGGGGGTCCTGGTGGCCAAGTAGGACAGTTTGCACAGCAGAATGGAAGTGATGGTTTAATGCCCCATAGAACGGTATTCCGGTGGTGAGCACGCCAACAGACCAGTTACTGAGTGGAAGGCTGGCAGGGAGGAAGCAGCTCTGGCTGCACAGGCTGTGTGGCTAAAGGGAAAGGGACCTTTAACCCTAATGCCTGCTAAGCTCACTATCTCCCCCGCCCCGTTCTTGTGGAGTTTGGGGGCCACACAGCAAGCTCTCTGTTCAGTATAGTCAGACTCTATGTGCAGAAATAGGCAGCAAGGACCTCCCTGCTGGAAGCCATGGGGACCTGCAGAGCAGGGGCTGTTGTAGGTTTTTCACTGCACAGTGCGGGGGGCATTCAGCGCATGCCATGGCTGAATGCCATCTGCACTGTCTACCTCCAGAAACGTCCAATGCACCATGCTGACCCCTGTCCCCTCTCCCACCCAGGACTGCCATCTTCCTTCCGTCTCTGTGGCTCTGACCATGCCAGGCCATCCTGGAGTGGGACCCTGTAGCATGTGTGCCTGACTCAGTTCCCTAAGCAGCATGGCCTCAGGGTCCACCTTTGCTGTAGTAGGTATCAGAATGCCCTGCCTTTATCTGGCTGAGTAGTATTCCCCTGTGCAGCTACCCTCCATTCATCTCGTGTGTGTGTGTGTGTGTGTGTGTGTGTGTGTGTGGCACTGCAGCTGTGACCCAGGCCCTTTGCACTGACCTACATCCTCAGGTGTCTTTTACAGGGTCTCGCTAAGTTGTCCAGGCTGCGCTGAAACTTTTCATCCCCCTGCCTCTGCCTCCCAAGAGTGCTAGGATGACAAGCATTGCCACCACACCTGGCTGATCCGTGAATATTTTACACTTAAGCAACTTGTGCCAGCCACTGGAAAACCCTCCTGGTTTGCAAACTTGTGGAGCTGAAGGTAGCCCTGGGTCACCCGAGTCTTGGAGGCAGTGGTTGAGAGCACTGGGGCAGTGTCACGATCAAGGTCCACGCAGGGGAAGTTGGAGAGTGAGGTTTAATGCTCCGCGCATTAAAATATCAACACTGTTCAGCAGCAGAAAGAGTCCCAGGCTGCGCCATGGGCTTCCTTGGTGTCCATCCTCGGGGCTCTCTGCACGCAGCGGGCGCTGTGCTGGGAGGATCTGGCACCACCAGACACCTGGGGAGGGGACAAGGCAGGGTGAGCAGAGGGTCCACCTACCAGCGACCAGGGATGTAGAAGGGCACTGGCTCTGAGATCCAGGGGTGGAGGAGGCAGATAGCCCAGGAGCCAGACTGTGGCCCAGCCTCAAATGAAGGGCGTGGGGGCTGCGGTCCCCGTCTGTGATATGGGGGTGGGAGGGGTATCCACACAGACTGCCTCGTGTGCAATGAGCTCGTGATACAGGCAGAGCAGGCAGCACAGCCACGTGCAGTAGACAAAAACACAGCTGAGCTGGGGTCTCGCCTAAGGCCCAGAGGCTATGGGTCAGCTCAGCTTACCCCCCTGTAAAATGCTCGTCCTGGTCCTGCCCAACAGGGCTGAAGCACTGCTTAGCCGCCAGGACTCAGAGGCTGCCCAACTCAAGCCCCACCCCTCCACCGAGCTCTTTGGCAACAGCAGGTGCCTGAGTGCCACCTGTTTTCTTCCCGGGATGGAACCCAGGGTCTCGCACATGCTGCACACGTGCTCACCACTAAGCTACAACCCCAGCTCTTTTTATTCTATTCTAAATATAGCAGGACATGAACCAGACTCCAATCTGGGATCCTTCTGCCTCAGCCTCCTGAGTAGCTAGGATGATAGGCATGTACCATGGTGCCATGCCCCCTATGGACACCCCTCAAGATGGGCCATCACAGCGTCCTGCAGACCCTTCTTGCTCTTGTCTATCTTCTTGCTCTAGCTATCAGCACTGGGCCACCAATGCCACCAGGCAGGGCAAGGGGCTTCCAGCCAGATTGAGACTCACCAGAAGGGTCTGAAAGGGACAGCTGACTAATCATCCTTCTTAAACTTGCCGTTGATGTACGGTACCCAGTCCAGGATCAGCCGCCAGTCGGTGGCCCACACCAGCCCCACGGCACCTACGGCACCCCATATGGTGGCTGTCGGGGTCCTGGAAGGAAAGTGACAGTCAGGTCCTGCTCAGGACACATCCTCCAGGATCCTCCTGCTGTCCCCACACCTGAGAGCCCTGAGCTCAAGCTACCGTCTGTCAGGTACCAACAGGCCTGGTCCCTGCCCAATGCCGAGGGACACACAGGACAGAAACAGGGCAGGTGACCCTGGATCCTAGACCAGCTGGTGACCCACCAGGCTGCCAGGCCTCAGGGGGCTTTGAACAGATACAGGTCACCGGGCCCCACCACCCTGATCTTTCTTTTGGGGATTCTGCTTAAGAACTGGGGGTTGGGGATGGGGATACAGTTCAGTGGCATAAGCGTCTGCCTGGCAAGTGCAAGGTCATAAGTTCGATCCCTGGTACCGCAAAAAACAAAACAAAACAAAACAAAAACAAAAACTGGGGGTGGAACCCACTGAACAACATCCCCTGCTTTCAAAATAGTACCGGGGGAGGGCTGGGGATTTAGCTCAGCGGCACAGTGCCTGCCTGGCAAGCACAAGGTCATGAGTTCGATTCCCAGTACTGGAAAACAAAACCAAACAAACAAACAACCCCCCCCGCAAGAAAATAGTACTGGGAGGGTGCTGGGGATTTAGCTCAGCAGCACAGTGCCTGCCTGGCAAGCACAAGGTCCTGAGTTCGATTCCCGGTACCAGAAAAAAT